ATTAAAAACAATACAGTGGTAAAAATCTGTACAGGGATTTTTGATTATCCACATCAGTCTTAAGCAAACACTTTGGTTAAATTCCTGGAATCAGAAATGCAAGGTCTAAGATTTTGCAAAAATTTTTAAGTCTATTTATTTATTTATTTATTTATTTATTTATTTATTTATTAGAATTCCAAGCAGGCTCCATGCTATCAACACAGAGCCCTACGCAGGGCTTGAACCCACTAATCATGAAATCATGAGCTGTGACAAAACCAAGAATTGGATGCTTAACTGACTGAGCCACCCAGGTGCACTGAAGAGTTTGCATTTTTAAAAAGGCATGTATTACACTCCAGAAAGGTTGTACAGATTTTCATTTTCATCAGCTGTGCATTATAATTCCTGTTCCCTGTCCTTACCAACACTGAAATTTCTGTAAAATCTTTTCTAATTTGTTAAGGGGATAGTGATGCCTTGTTAGATTACATTGCATGTCTTTAATTATTACTGAGACTGAATTTTTTATATACACGTATTGGCTCTTATATTTCTTTGGTAAATTGTCTATTTGTGTCATTTGCTCATTTTTCTATTGAACTATTTGGACTTTTAAAAATAGATTTGAAAGAATATTTTAAATATTAAGAATATTTGTTTATGATATTCATACATATAATATTTTCTTCCTTATTATTTGCCTTTTCACTTTATGATGTTGGTTTTTAAGATACAGACATCTTTAGTTATGCAATTAAATTAGTCTTTCCCATGTGCTGTCTTTGTTGCTTATGCTATGCTTAAAAAACACCTGCCTTCCAAAGATTATGCAGATAACTGCATTTTCTTCTAGGATTTTTATGAACTTTTTTTTTTTTTTACATTTAAGTCTTTAGTCTATCCAGAATCATGAATGGTATGAAACATAGCATAGAAATATGCCTTTACTTTTTTCCAAGAATTTAGCTAATGTCTGTAACTTTTATGCCATTTCTAGATGTTTGCAATGTCTATGAATCTCAAAACAACATTAAATGATAGCATTAACAAGTACTTTATTCTTTGGGGGGGCGCCTGGGTGGCTCAGTTGGTTAAGCATCCAACTTCAGCTCAGGTCAGGATCTTGCAGTTTGTGGGTTCGGGCCCCACAATAGGCTCTGTGCTGACAAGTCAGAGCCTGGAGCCTGCTTTGGATTCTGTGTCTCCCTCTCTCTCTGCCTCTCCCCTGCTCATGCTCTGTTTCTCTCTGTCTCAAAAATAAATAATAAAAACATTTTTTTTTAAAAGTACTCTATTTTTAAATTTGTTTTTTAGTTTATTTATTTTGAGAGAGAGAGAGTGTGTGTGTGTGTGTGTGAGCAGGGGAGGGGCTGAGACAGAGAGGGAGAGAGAAAGAATCCCAAGAAGGCTCCACACTGTCAGCACAGAGCCCAGCACGGGGCCCGAACCCACGAACTGTGAGATCATAACCTGAGCTAAAACCAAGAGCTGGCCACTTAACCGACTGAACCACCCAGGCACCCCAAAAGTACCTTATTTTTAATAGATTTTCCTTTACCTTAATGAAATAATTATGGATATAAAGCAGACAAGGGTGCCCAGTTAACTCTTATTTGTAATAATAATATAAAAACATCAGCCCAAATAAATTATAGAATGTCCATACAATAGACTGTTCAGCCACCATTAAGAATTATACTGTAGAAGAATATTTAATAATAACTTATGACTTATCATTAATTTTTAAATTAAAGAATGTTATTATACTAATTTGTATTTAGAATAAGCGAGTTTCTAATTATATATGTATAGAAGGAACTAGAAGAAGTGAGGATTTAGGTGGTTATTTCTTGTTAATGGGATAATTTTCATTTTCTGCTTTGTGCTCTCTGCATCTCCCAAATTTTCTGCCATGCACACAGATAGCTTTTGTGATAAAAAAAAAAACACATCTATATAAAATAAAATCTTCTTTCTAATACATTATCATCTTACTCCTAAAAGCTTTTAAAAACTTTTTATAACTGAAATGAGTAATTGATTTTATCAAATGCTTCTTGCAGCCACAATTTAGGGGTTGCGTAGTTTTTCCTTATTTGACTTATTGATCTCACCCTATTGATCTCAACCTATTGATCATATTGTATTAACAGATTTCCTTTAGGAAAAAAAAAAAAACATAGTTGGCATCCTAGAAGAAGCTTTACCTAATTATCCTAGGCTACTTTAATCCTGAGAGGATTTTGAGTTCCCTCCTTCAGAAGTAAACGAGAGAAGCTAGGACCTCCAATAATTTATTTAACCCTTGACATCAGTTTATGTTTTCACAAAACAGTTTTTTACACATGCTTCATATTATTTTGAGCCTGTGATAAGTGCAGGCCAGGTATGGTTGTATCATTTTACAAAAGAAGAAAGAAGGACCCAGAACAATGAAATAATTACAGGGCCAGACAGTAGAAGAGCCAGGAAAAGAACCCAAGCTTGGACATATGACACCTCTCACCATCTACACCCCGTGGAAATAAACCCCACTGAGCCATCCTTTCTGCTGATCTGGGAAGGCTAATGTATTAGTGCTGCCTCCCTCAATCTGCACAGGGGAAGACTTCCTACATCGGCTACTCACCATCACCTTAGCCTATAACTGCTTGGTTCTGATAGGGCCTGGGTTGTTCGTAAAGTAAAAGAAAGTCTGGCTACCAGGCACAGGACACTGAGCAAGAACCCAGTCTGTGGTGGGGTCTCTGGCCCTTCTCCAACCTTTGCAGTGACCGACACCCACAGCCCTCAAGTGGAGGGCCTGCTTAACCAGGTGCTGCTGATGTGTCACAGATCCCGAAGTTTATTCTTAAAGAGAACTGCACTCTCCCAAAATGACTGTCTAGCTTCTTTACATACCCTGCCATCCAGCCTCAATATCCTTACCCTTCTTGGGGCTTTTTTTCTGAATCCGGAAAGTTCTGGAATCTGTCTTCCCGAATAAGCTCCTTCTGGCCAACCCCGCTCTTCCACCTCCACAAACATGAGCTCTAGATGGGGTGGCCAGTCATCCTGGTTGCTCCAAGACATGCAGTTTAAACCTGGGGTCCCAGGATAATTGTTAATGGCACCCCCTTTCACTTTCATGCACTACTTTGGCCATGAGGAATCCCTAGTCCCAAGATTTAGGACCAAAGTCCTCTCTGACCCCATCCATTCCATCTGGAAATTCTGTTTGCTGTGCTTTCAAAGTATACCCAGAACCTGATCATCTTCCTCTAGCCCACAATTCCCACTGACATTCTAAATGACACAACTTCTCACCTAGATTACCACCATGCCTCCTGCCTCTGGCTCTGAATCTATTTTGAACACCACAGCCAAAGCCATCTTTTTACAACATAAGCCAAAGAATATCCCCTTTCTTCCCCATAGCCCAGTGCTTCCCCATAGCCCTCAGTGTAGTGGTCTTCTTTGCTATCTGCACTGTGACCCTCAAGTCTGCCCTCCCCTCTCTGACCCCATCTCATTCCCTAGTTCCGTTGCCTCCATGTTGACTCCTTGCTATTCCCAATGCACAGCAGACATGTTCCACCTTCGGGCCTTTGCACTGCTTTTCCTCTCTGCCTGAAGCCCTCTTTCCCCAGAGACCCACCTGACTAATTGCCTCTCTTCCGCAGCCATACTGACCACCCTTTGTAAAATTGTACCACATCCCCCAAATGGTTGATCTCTCCTTAACTCATTTTTTTTTTCTTGGAACTAGTTGTTTCTTAACAAACCACATACTCTCCTTATTTATTACTTTCTGTCTTTCCCCTTATCTTCTAATTTCTACATGCAGGGACTTTTATCTGTTTTACTCACTGGTTGATTTCAAGTATCCAGAACAACCTGTCCAGAACATCCTGGACATATGTACCTATGTCCAGTACATAACTGATGTTCAATAAATATTGGTCGATCAAACAAACCAATTCTCCTGAACACAAATCCACTCTCTGAGCCCTCATACACCACGACCCCTCCAAGACCATGTCGCCAGCCTTGACTTAAGGGCTGCGGTTGGGAAGCTCCTCAGTGCGCACCCCCGGTCTTGGCCGTGGAGGATCACCTGTCATCTCTGCGACTCAGTTTACCTGCCTAAAAACTGGTGGAAAGGAGAAAGGGAACGCTTCTCGGATGGATGCGGGTCCAGTCCCAGGGAGAAGGCCTGCGGGTGCCTCCCCCACCTGCGTGCGCACACAGGGGAGCCCTGCCAACAGGGACCAACAGCCTAGCGGGTCTGGTACCTGCGGCTTCACGTCCTCTTCGTCCTTGTAGTAGTAGAGCTGCTGCGCCCTCAGCACAAAGTATCTCTGCTGCCAGTTCTTCACGATGGACCTCTGCTTCTTCAGCCAGCCCATCTTGATGGGCCTCTCCAGCGGGTTGGGGGCGGACGGCTGGTGGAGGGCGGCCATCTGCTCGCCGGTCATCACGCTCCTGGACCGAGCTGTGGAGAGGAACAGACAGGCAGGCTGGCTGAGGGACATGAAGCGGCGTGCAGAGAGGGTGGGCGCCGAGGCCACAGAGGGAGCCCCAGGGGGCCGAGTCCCAGTCAGGCCGGGCTCACGGGGCCGGGCTTGCAGGAGGGACGAAGCCCCGAACCCCCAAGGGGCAGCCGAGGGGCCTGCTCAGGACGCGGGCTGGCCGGGGACAGGGAAGCCGGAGGCAGCCGGAGGCCCGATGCGTAAGAAGTCCGGAGCCCGAGGCCGGCCCCGTCATTCTGTAAAGAGAAAGGCTGGCTGGAGCCTTCTGAAGAGGAAGTGGCCGCAGCATCTGACAAAAGGTGCTTCCTTTTTCCTGCGTGGGAGTCGGTATCTGACAAGAGAGAAAACAGTGCCCGCTCAGAGGGTTCGGGGACTCCCACGCAGCTGCAGAGGCAGCCGGAAGCTGGCCGGGCACTGTCCCCAGGGCAGGAGCTGGCGCACCCGCTGGGACCTCGCGTCGTCCGGCAGCGTGCCTCCCCAACAGGCCCCGAACCCCCTGCCCAGTCCACGCCCCCAACGTGCAGGAAGCTGGCACCTCCTTGAATGCTCCTGCCCAGTGTCCCTGAGTGCCGCTCTGTCCCCTGCCCTCTGAGAGTGTTTACAGCCCTTTATGCTCCACCAGGGGCCTCACTGTAGCTGCCTTCCTACCACAGGATCAGCCAGATGGGCCCTTCCATGCGCTGAGGACACACAAGCACTGGAAAGGAAAATGAAATCTGCCAGCAGAAAACAGCAGGGGAATTTGAATTCAGACCCTCAACCCTTGGTATCTCGCAGTTGGTTTTTGTTTTCACACCAGAGCTCTGTTGTCACTGGATCAGATCCAAGTGTCCACAGCTTGTCTCCAAGGTAACTCCGGGGTGGGATAACTGTCTCCTTTCTTTCCCTCCCCAGCAATCCATCAGCAGGCCTGTGGTCCTGCTGAACATATCCTCTGAGCCCCACCTCCCTTCTTTCCTGCCAGTTCTACAGTGCCCTTCTACAGAGTTCCACCACATCAGAGTGCCATCCTGGCTACATGCTGCCAGCCCCCAGTGCCTGCACTCCTATCCTTGATGGAAGAAGTCTCTGTCTTACAGCCCCTTTCTTCAGCTTTTGCAGGTCCGTGGAACATTCTTGATGCAGCTGAATGCAGCCAACTTCACTCTTGCCCATTTCACCCAGCCTGGTTGGAGACCAGCTCTTCCTTTTCTGGCTCTTGGACGCTTGAGTACATTACACAACTTCTCTGAGCCTCAGTTTCCTTGCTTGTTAACAGGATAATAATTCTATGGAATTATCGTGGAGATTAAACAAGCTAACATATATAAATATATATAACTTGGATAGTACCTGGTCCAAAGTAAGCTAAAGTCACTGTTAGTTTTATTAACAGGTGACATTACTTCCTGCTACAAGGTTGGAGATCATCTCTGACAGCTTCCTAAACTTCCCTCTGCATTTGAGAATGTTGCTCTGTAATCAACTTCTTCTCTTCCTTCATTCCTATCGTTAACGCATTGAATCGACAACTTTTCCTATTGCTTTTGACTCCTTTCTTTCTATCTCCTTCTAGGCCTGTGGTTTTCAAACTTTATCTATGCTCATGGCATACTTCCGGATACCAGAATTTCATATGACATCACAGACTAATTGTATTCAGAGTTATCCCCCTATTTACATGTTTTACCCTTCAGTCCTGTATTGCTGTCTCCAGAGGACTCTGTTCCCTTGATCCTCACAAGGAGCCTCTGTTCCTGTCACATACATTGTAACTTGCAGTGACCCCTCACCTCCCACTAGAGATTGGAGAGATCATAGCATGTGGTACACTAGGGGACAAAGCATACTTGATTCTTCCTCCTTTTAGACAGATATCATCTTAACAGTGCAGAAACTCAGTTGCAGAAAAAAGTCATTTGACATTTTGATGCCAATTTGGCAGCATGCTTGCAAAGGGTTTGCTTTGTATCAGTGTGTCCTAGCACCCCAGTTAAGAATTTTATCTTATGAGCATCCGAGTGGCTCAGTCAGTTAAGCAGCCAACTCTTAATTTCGGCTCAGGTTATGATCTCACGGTTAGTGAGATGGAGCCCCACGTAGGGCTCTGTGCTAAGAGGGCGGAGCCTGCTTAGGATTCTCTCTTTCCCTCTCTCTGCCCCTCACCCGCTCATGCTCTCTCTCTCTCTCTCAAAATAAACATTAAAAAAAAAAGAATTTTATCTTAGATCTTGCTCCTCAGTTAACTACTGTCTTCATGATCTTCCAATCTTCCACCTGTCACTCAAAGAACAGCCACTCTGAGGCTAGTCACGTACTGTAAGTCTGCGTAAATGATCTAAAAGAATGATAGGAGGGTCTTGGCAAGAATACAATGGGAGGAAGGAATTTGAAGAACTGTATACAGCTCTGTCTCTCTAGGTCAGAGACCATTATTTGCAAAGACTCCTATCTGTCCTAGAAAGAGGATAGATTGTAGGCAGAAATGAAAAGAATGGTTCACACAGAATTTGTTTAAAAATGGAAGAGTGAGGCATTCCAGCAAATTTGGGGGAGTTCTCCTTCAGCTTAATAGCCTCAGCATAGCCTAGCCCAATGTGACCATTTACCTGAAGCAGCATCAGACTTGGGAGGGAGGGCCACCTTCCTAACAGGGGCATAATGAGGAGCCTTTAGTTGGCTTCTGAGGTGATGTCACCACATGAAGCCAGCCCAGGAAGGAAGAGAAACAAGCAGATGTCACATGAATGTTTTGAGGACTCAGGCATCCTGAGCCACCCCCAGAGACCCAAAGAAATTGTTAGAACCACAATGGGAGAAACCACAGGTCTCAAACAGCATTGAAGGAGTGGGATGGAGGAAACAGAAGCCAAAAAGACACTATAATTGAAAAGAATTAACTCAGCACAGCACTTAGTTGCTGGGATATTCATCTGTGGTTAGTTCTGTGAAATGTTTATGTTCTGTTGTGGCAAAGACAATGACAAACATGTGAAAACAAAACATCCTTTAGAAATATCTGTGCATCATAGGATGGCCTGGCAAAAGCAAGAGGAAGTATGGAGAGCTTATGTTCTCAGACCTGGCCAACAGGGACTTTGATGCCCTTGTGCCTTATAGGCAACCACCTTGTCTGCCTGCATATGGTCAAGGCCTTGACTGACCATCTTTTATATTCCAGAAGTGATACCATTCACCCACACCTCCACCCAATGCTTCTTGAGTACCTGTTCTCATCCTCATTGTGAGTGGTATGGCTACACACCACAGTTTGAGTGTGGATAGCTCTGTACAAGCCTCCACAAGGCTAGAATTAGTCCCAAACACTGCAGAGGTGACAGCTAGGGCTCCAGTGAGCCAGTGGCTAAGGCTAAGGGACCTTTCTGTCCCATGTCAGAGCTATCTCCCACCTTGGCCTTCAGCATTGCTTACCAGCCAGACCTATCATGAAATGATTCAAATATCAAGGAAGGAATCCTGATGGGCTTTAAGTTTGACTTGTTTGGGGCTAAATTTCCTTGTTAGCTCCTTTGAACAGTCTCTCTTCTTTGTGGGTGTGACTTGTTCCCAGATAAAGTAAACAAAGAAATCTGTTACTATTAATGGAGCTGTTTCTCATAATGAAAATAAAAACTGTGATAAGCTTCGCTTGTGAGCCAGTCATTGCACACAGAGTGCACGCTCCCAGCCCTGGGGGAAGGAGATCTGAGCCAGGCTGTGGGCTGGAGGGGCTGCGGGCAAACGAGGCAAGGTGGGAAGTCAGAAGGCAGTTGCTAAGTGTTTACAGAAAACTCTGGGGAAGTGGGAAGTGAGAGCTTCCATAAAATCAGAAACCCACCCTTACTTTAGTAGAGAGAGAAAGAAGGACCCCCTAATACTGTGCTGTCCAACACAGTATCCACTTGCTGTGAGTGGCTATGTATATGCAAATGAATTAAAATATATTAAATTTAGTTCCTCAGTCACACCAGCTACCTTTCAAGTGCTCAGTAGCCCCATGTGGCTCACGGCTACCGTATTGGACAACACAGATAGAGAATATTTCCATCATCACAGAAAGTTCTACTGGTTAGCACTTCCTGGAATCTGAGTGTGATCATTACTAAGCATGAAACAAAAATGGATTATAAATGATGGGGCAGCATTTCATCAAATAGAAAATCAAGCTAGAGGTCCCTGAGAAGAAGTATCTTCAGGTGGCTGAGTGAGGAACTCAGCCTTGATCTGAGAGGTACTATGGAGGCACTTCATGTACCTTGGCAAGGGAGGCCCATGAGAAAATATGGATGAGTTACATAATAGTACATACAGTGTATGCTGAATTTTACTCTGCATTGTGGGAGGGCACCAAAAAGAAAAGAGAAATGGAAGAAATGCCACATGCCCAGAAGTGCCAGATGATGCTTCTGCAGTAGAAGTTACCACTCTCTGCCCCAAGTTGGAGCAAGAGAAAATTCAAGACAGAAGTATAAACAGAGAAGTCATCTTGGGAAGCATGATCACTTCCTTTCTTCATCTTCCCATCTTCTGACGCCTAACCCCAAAAATAATCAATCACAAAATCTTCTAGGGCCAACTTTTGAGATATTTCTTGTATCTGCTCTCAACTACACTTCAGTTTTTCTTCTATTTTAGATGGCTTCAAATCTATGGGTGAGATGCTAATAGTTCATTCAAAGCTGGGTATTTTCTCAATATGATGATATGAGCGGTGCATTAGTCTGAGAACCATGTTTAAATGGCTTTGAAAAAAGAGTAGAATTTACATGCTTCACCCCCCAGAAACCCTCTCTTGAGCTGCAGTCTCAACCATCCAACTGCCTGCAAGTACCTAGGTAGGAATCTCAAGGTCACCACATTGCTAGTGAATATATCACCTTCCCTTCCTTACCTCCACCATTCCCTTTGCCTTGCACCCACAAACACGCCCAAACCTGCTTTACCTCCCCTGATCTCCATGATGTGCTGTGAGTGATGTCTTCCC